GAGGCCTGCGGTGTCCTAAGATGGCTACGAGAATTACACTCGGACGTCACGATTCCAGCTAGACTGGTGCGTATAGTTATAGTTATGGTGGTATAGTTAGTGCAGCGTGTCGAACTGTCCATCGCGGCGCAGTCTAAGCCGAATCGGCGTTCCTTGTGTGGAAAATTCTCTGGAAAATCCCTCGAAGACAGCCTCGTCGCGCCATCTATGGCACGCCATATGTACGAGAATAAGTTCAGGGCGTAAAATGCAAGAAATTGGAAATCGCTTTTCTAGAGGAAAACCTAAAGCGCCGACCAAAAAACTTGAAATTACGAGCATTTGGATTTATTCTCGCCCTACGTGCAGAGTCGAAAGGCTTCTGCAATCGCCACAACTCCTCAATTGACCGATTATTCGGCTTTATGTACTACCCAGAGGGCCTCGCGTTTATAGTTCTACATAGAGGGCAGCGAATTCGATCAAAAGGCGCTGTTCGCGCTTCGCGCGTATATCCGGGCTGCAGATCGTCTAGGCTCGTGATAGTCGGTGTATAGCATCATGGTAGGAAAAGCCATCACTGTGCTGAAATTGGAGGTCACAGGTCAAAGGTCAATGGGGTACAGGGCAGGTTTTAGACATTTTCTGAGGACATGGTCTGACGGAGCGATTGAAAAACTTTTGTTTCAGCGGTGACCTACCATTTTTATGGCTTTATTGAAAGGACCATGAAATGTACTTTCCGCTGACATGCGAAGAGTAAGTGTCCGATAACCTTTTGACCCTCAAGAGGAAGGTTAAACATGGATTTGTTTACTGTTAGAAAAAATTTGACTGCGGGGTTTGCTAGTAGAATCTATACATGCCTGAACGTATGAGGCTACAATGTCACAGTGAAATTTCAAAAGCTAAATTTGGTTGAAGAAGGTTTATGCTCCTTAAACCATATAATTTCTAAGACATTCTGTACTGTCAGTGTGTTACATGTAACTTATGCAACTGCCAGTAACTGCTGCCAGTGCATGTGGTGGTGATAGTACTGTGTCATTTTTGCCTGCGTTAATTAGTTCAGCCTGTAGGCTTGCGTAAGTAAATGGATGAGTGCTTACCTATTGTCTTGCAAATAGTTGTTGCTACTACGTACGATGGGAGCTTCCATCTTTAATCTTAAGACACTTAAACGTACGCACCATCTCGTGGTAACTTTCATAACGATCCCAACNGGGAGAGAGAGAGAGAGAGAGAGAGAGAGAGCGCGTGAGAGAGAGAGAGAGAGCGCGTGAGAGAGAAAGTGAAAGAGCGAGAGCGTGAGAGAGAGAGAGTGAGCGAGTGAGAGAAAGAGAGAGAGGGGGGAGGGGGGGAGGGAGACAAATGATAGAAAGAGAGCGCGCGCGAGAGAGAAACAGAGTATGGGAGAAAGTGAGAGAGAGCGCGGGAGGGAAAGGTGAAAAGGGAGAGTATGGGCGTACGTAATAGATGGATAGATGTGGACACGGTGCTAACTAGTGAAATATTAGTTGTATATAATGTATATATTTTATTCGGGATCTCTTTCGTTATTGCACACTCCTGACACGCTCTTACGTCGCGTGTACTCACTTGGCGGGACACTGATGAAGGTTGCAGCTCCTCTCTAGTGACGATGGCGCCACCTTCGCGTTGCAAAAGTGATCTTCTACAACCCCCGACTTCTTTTCGACGCATTGGGGGTTCTGTATCTGTATACCTGCGCACGTAAATCACGGCAAGGTTGTCGTCGAGTGTCTCAGGTAAGCACCCGCACAGCTAAATCATGCAGGACGCGCGCGCGCACATACACACGCGCGCGCGCACACAAACATGGTGTCCGTGCGACCCACTAGCTATGAGTACCTTCACAACAGATGGCGCTGCACGCCTTGATAACTTCACGTAGCTCTGCCACAGGTGGTGCTGCACACCTTAAAGCCGCACAATGCGCATCTAAACGCTAATTTCTCCAGTACTAGACTAGCAAGTAATTCGTGTCATGTATAATCACACTACCGTATGACAAAATAAACTCTAGTTCCTCCCATTTCACTGCGCGTTTGCTTAAAACCCACAAGAAAGAGGTGCGAAATCTGGCAATCTGGCGCCAACGCCGAATTGTTTGCCAAACAATTTAGCCCCGAATCGGTTAGGTGACGTCACATGTTGCTACGGGTTGCACCCGTTGCACGGTTGCTTGGCAGAGCAACGCGAACGTGTCAACAACATTGGAGGTATTTTCAAATACCTTTTATAAGACAACGCGCAGTGAAATGGAAGGAACTAAAGTTTATTTTGTCATAAAGTAGTATGATTATGCATGACACGAAGTATTTGCTAGTCTAGTACTGGAGAAATTAGCGTTTGGATGCGCATATTGCGGCTCCTTAATAAATGTACCTGCCACTGCCACAGATGGCGCTGTACACGCTGATAGATGCACGTACCTCCACCACACGTGGCACTGCACACGGTCCATCCCGAGTAGCTCCAGGAGAACTCTGGGATGCGCTTGACGATGGAGGCGTTCTCTATCGGCAGCGTGTACTCAAAGCTGAGCGTCAGATTCTCTACCTCGTGGTATAGAACCTGCAGCACCGTGAAATGCAGCGACATAATTATAGTGGCAATCATTTTCCAGCGTGGGCGCAAAAATCTTTGCGCACTGAGATGAGGGTTGAGTTGTTTTCGTCATTGTAAATGTGTCATATGCACTTTTGTAATACGACCGATGCGTAACTCTGTATGCTTGGTAGGGTAATAGACAGTAATAAATCCTAACTACAGTATGAAAGTGCCATGTCCATGCAAGGTGTTGACTGATAAGGTAACTGGTGATGGATGAAACAGAAAAATATTTACATAGATATAAGCGGGAGTCGTCAATAAGCTACCTAGAGGATGGTGTAAGGTAATTGATAGAAGAGTTAACAGTTTACATATAGATGCAAGAAGAAGGGAACTGGTGGGAGAGATTGCAGGAGGTAAGAGCATACATAGATGGACAGTGGCTCCATGAGAGGCCCCGGTGCAGTCAGCGTCTCTCTGTCATCCAGCGCCCTCTCGTATCGCACCGCCACGCCCGCCATCTTGTATGTGCTGCTCCACTGTATCGACCAGTGTCCATTCAGCAGGAAATTACCCTGTGCATCCTTCACGGCGAGGTAGTTGTGCGTACCGGTCACCTCCTCTACGCGCAGGTTACGAGCTTTGCCCGGCACTACGTGAGCGAGGATGTATCCTATACGCAGGCAGAGAGAGATAAATGTACGCTTTCATACACGCACGCATGCACGCACTCATAGGCACGCACGCACGCATGCACACGCGCACACACGACACCCAGACACTAACAAACGTATAACCGCTTAACAAACGTAAGCGGTAACAACCGCTAACCGCTTAACAAACGTATGCCCGCTTCCTACCTATACTTATACTTACCTACCTACCTATCTACCCATCGACCGACCTACCCACCTATACCTACCTTCCTAACCCTATACACATGCCTACCTACCCCTCCTACCCCCACCCCACCCATACCCAACCCAACTAGCGTCCTACCGATCGACCAAACTACCCACCTATACTACCTACCGACTACCTACCCATCTACCCACCTACCTACCTACCTACCTACCTACCTACCTACCTATATACCTACCCACCTATATACCTATCCATCTATATCTGCCTGCCTAACCTCAGCACATACCTACTTACCCACCTACCCACCTACCTGTGCCGCGGGTGAGGTTGAAATATGTCAGAACCGTCTCACACGACGTTCCATCACCATGGCAGACGCCACATCTGTCCTCCAGTGCATCCGATAGTATGTTCCAGTCGCATGCTACCGGCTGCAATACACGCAGATCAGAGACGCGTATAACGCTGTGTGTGTGTGTCTGTGCGTGCGTGCGTGCGTGCGTGCGTGCGTGCGTGTGCGTGCGCGTGCGCGTGCGCGTACGTGGGTGTGTGTGTGCGTGCGAGCGTGCGTGCGTGCGTGCGTGCGTGCACGCGCGCGCGCGTGTGTGTGTGTGTGTGTGTGTGTGTGTGTGTGTGTGTGTGTGTGTGTGTGTGTGTGTGTGTGTGTGTGTGTGTGTGTTGGTGTGATCAGACACGGTTGGTTAGGTAACGCATCCCAGGGACGCTGCACTTGTCACATCGATGGTTAAAGTTTGTTAACCCTATCTTTATGTTATAATTATAAACATATTTAAGTATGGAAGAAAGAAATATCTAATTAAAGTTGACATAGAGCATTACGAACTTACGGCTCTCTGTTGGTCGTGTTTGCTTGCAAAAAAAGACGAGATTTAAATGCTTGTCATAGCGTTATTTCTCAAACCGCGTCCTGTTATCAAATGTTGCTTATGATATAAGTAGAGCTGGGATACACGTCATTCTTCGTTTGGCATGGACAGAGAGAGAGAGGGGGAGAGGGAAGATAGAGACGGGGAGGGAGCGAGGGAAGGGGGAAGAAGCAGTGAAAGAGAGAGCGACAGAGAGGAGAGAGAGAGAGAGAGAGAGAGAGAGAGCGCGCGAGAGAGGAAAGAGAGAGAGAGAGAGACAGACAAGAGAGAGAGAGAGAGAGAGAGAGAGAGAGAGAGAGATAGAGCGGAGAGAGACGAGAGGAGAGAGAGAGAGAGAGAGAGAGAGAGACCGAGACAGAGATAGTGTGGGAGAGAGGCAGAGAGATAGAGAGAGAGAGAGAAAGCAAGTGAAAGAGAGAGCGACAGACACACACACACACACACACACACACACACACACACATCACACACACCACACACACACACACGACACCACACCACACACAGAAGATCATCAGCTCTGCAGCCGCCCGAGCAAATGTCTCTCGCTTTGGCCCGAAAGCGGCATGGCGTGCCGCAATCATCGTGTTCGTTAAGGGTGACGGTGGGAGAGTGGCCAACGGCCCTTTACACCGCAGCGCACAACGCCTTGCATGTTAGCAAATCACAGTCTGTAAAAACATACACGTGAAGGCGTAACGCAGGTAGAGCGAGATGAGAAAGCGATACCAAAGCAGGTCGTGACTATGGCATATATATATATAATATAATGATATATAAATATATATATATTATGATCAGGAGCGTAATAATACGCTATTATAAAGGTATGATTAGCTCTTGTATATAAATACTATAATATGTATATATTTCTATAATATGTTGCGTCGCGTGTGTGCGTGTGGGTTTGTCGGTCTTCATTTGTATGACAAATCAGAGTAATTCGGCAGTGTCAAACTTAGGTATCAGCACTGTCATATGTGTCAGGCGGTGTCGCTAAGATGGGCGCTGGGCGGCGTATCGCTATCTGCACGGGCTTCTGGATTTGACAGAATCTCCACGGGCGCCACTGCTGAGACTCCCTTGTGCTGAATGCGTCATAGAGCTGCAATGCACCTGATGGAAAGGAGTGGGTCATCCCACGTCGCGATGACTAGCAAGGGGACAGAGAGAAAGGCAATCACACGTGTTGAAAAAAAGAGCGTTGCGGGGAAGCTATAGGTGAGGCATAAGGTAGGCCATCGTCACCAAATAGTGTATGGTTTGATTAGCAAACGCAAAGAAAGAATTTAGTGACGCAAAAATCTGAATGTACAACCGCATCGAATGCTATGTACTAACCTCGCGAATAATTTCGTGTCAATTCGGCTATAGTTTTTTGTGCAAGCATAAGAAAACTGGTTTTGGTTCAGACTCCCTCTCGTTATTGACTTCGTCAGCTGTCGCAGATAATGGAGTGTATATTTACACAAACACAGAGGCCTCTAATGCACCAGTGGACGGATTTATAAAGCATGGAGCGCTGTTAGCATTATCTTTTCATGGCAAATTTTCTCGAACGAATTATATAATATTAATATTAATATTATATTCTATATGTAAATATATATATATTATATATATATTCTAGAGTCTCCTATTAACAAGCTTGAGACGCTGCTTGCTCCTACTGTATCAGGTGTTAAGATAAATATGGAATAGTATAAAGAAAGGTGCTTGTTATTTTACTTCCATGCTGTAATAAATTGGCTTGTGGCAGCAGTTTTCTGCGAAGTTTTGCCGGTGATCCGGCCCACTAAGCAGTAATAAGTGGTCGCGCTCACGAAGTCGAAAACATTTAAAGTTAAAACAACGTGAGAGCAGATTGAGCGGAGGCTGGAATACATACTTCAGTAACTGCAAGATCCTGTAGTCTCTTTCGCTCGCCTATGCAGTATATGCCACCGAATGAACGGCACTGTAAAAAGAAAAATATTTTCTTACGCTCAACTTAGACAGCGAAGGCGCGCAAGCACCACGAAAAGCACGAACAACCGCATGCCTAAACGGCACGCACAGCGCACACACCCGCGCGTCACACACTCGCGCGCTCCACACACACGGCCGTGCTGCGATACAGCGCGCACGCGACACGCCGCACGCCGCGGCGCATACACGCACGCCACGCGGACACCGCGTGCGTTTGTTATCAGCAGTAACGCATTCGCTGTAACTTGAGTCTCGTCCCGTTGGGCCTAGCTAGATTCCCCTGGACAGAAGACATTTGCGCGATTTTAACTGTGCGTGTTTTTCCATGGGCGCTTCTGCTGGCACTACACAGTAATCCAAGCATAAAAGCTTAGGAGACCCCTCCTAAGTCCAAGCGAAGGAGGGCGCCGCCGTTAATAATATGCTACGCGGCTATAACGCAATTGCTTTCTCTAACATAATACAAACGCACCAGCAGCAGCAACGCCAGCCAAGGGCGTATCAGGGTGAGTTGTGAATGCTCTATTCGGGAAATTTAACCTGGTAATTTTACGCCCGCCATTCCGCCTCAATTGCTTCCCTCTCCGTTCAGTGCTAAGGCGACGCGTAAAATCATTTTAAGTTGAATTAGCATGAACTTGCGCCGCGTTCGTCTGCCGTACATCCGGGTCTTTGCTGGCACATCCGGGACCCCTGCCGTGTCCTTCACATAATCAAAAGTTTCAAGAGCAAATGATTGGCCACGCGCGGGCAATGTTAACACGCCGCAGCGTAGAGAAATACGGGGCGGGTACTTTTGAAGAGAACGAAAAACTTCAACTTAGCGAGTCGAGAGTAGCTCCCGCGGCAAAGTGGCCAATGCAATCACATAGTTGGCTTTTCGTGATTGGCAGAACTAGAAAACATATTCTCTCTCTGCGCCTCGAAGCGACAGGGCAGCAGATTGCCGCGATAGCAAATTGATATTTATCTGATAATGGAATGTAAAGATGCTATCTGACATATATAAATCAACAATAACATTGACAAATATAAGCTGTGGCAGGTATGGCGCATGTGTAGCACGTGAAACGCGCTAAGCTTGTGGGTTGGGCGGCAAGGCCTAGGGTCAGTACGGGGGGTTTTGGTGCAGTGGCGTAGGACCGCCCCCCACAGCTAGGGTCAGTTAACATACGGGGGCTGGTAACAATGACTGGGACGGTTCCGCACCACAGGATAGGGTCAGTAGCATACGGGGGCTGGTAACATGACTGGGACCGGCCCACAGTTAGGGTCAAGTACATACGGGGGGCTGGTAACATGAGCTAGGGACCGCTCCCACAGCTAGGGTCAGTACATACGGGGGCTGGTAACATGACAGGGACCCGCCCCCACAGCTAGGGTCAGTACTACGGGAGGGTTCGGTAACATTGAACTGGGACCGCCCCCACAGCTAGGGTTCAGTACTTACTGGGGGTTGCACAGTGGCGGTTGGCGGCAAGAACAAACCGCCGCCGCAACGTACGCGTGCAAATGCTGACATCACTGCGCGTCCACTCCGCCCAGTCGTCCGTTGAACCGCCTTGCGGCAGCCCCGCCCTAATCTCCACGCACTTCGGCGGCAAAGCACCACGTGAAACATTCATTCCGACACAGAGCGAGATTACGCATGAGTGATTATAAATGAAATCAAATAAAATCGTTTATGAACGCGAGTTTGCAGATATTTATGGCATTATAGGCAACAGAAAAAGGTTATGGCCTATGGGTTTGATAAATAAAGAGAGTACAAAAATAGTTATGAATATGGGCTTCTGATAATTAAATGAACACAAAATGGTTATGATAGCGGGTTTGCTGATATTAAATAACGACAAAAGGTTTTATGATATAGTTTTCTGGTTCAAAGAGCAGAAAGAATAGTTTAAGGAATGGCCGGGTTTCTGATATAAAAAAAGGGCACAAAGAAGGTTATGATAGCGGGTTTCTGATTTGGAAGTAGCACAAAAATTGTTCATTGATCATGGGTTTCGTATATTAAATGAGGCACGTAAAATGGTTTGGTGTCGCCGCTGCGAGATATGGATTGATATGGAAATAACGCAAGCAACAGAGCATGCGAAATGTGGCGTGTGTGTGCGGTGCGTGCAGTGCGTGTGCAGTGTGTGTCTGTGTGCGTGTACGTGTGTGTGCGGGGTGCGCGCGCGCCGGTGGTGTGTTTGTGTTCTGTCTGTGGATGCGGTGTGTGTGCGTGCATGTGTGTGCGTGCGTGTGTGTGTGCGTGTGTAGGGGTGAGTTGTGGTGCGGCCGTTGCGCTTGTTGGGCGTGTGCGTGCGTGGCGCGGCGGATTGAGGTGGCAGAACCTAACCAGACGCACGCGATGTTCGTACAGCTGTGGCCGGTGATGCGTGCGCCAGTAATTAAGGCAGCTGAGAAAACAGCGAGAAACAGCTTGCTGTTTCCGCGACGGAAAGCTATTAACGACGCTCGCTAAGATATTTTTACGGCGGCCGCTCCACACTAGTTTTTAATTAGGCCCACTGTTTTTAAACCGGCATGTAAACAGTATTCTGATGTATCTTCATCGTGATATTAACATGAGTAGCGCACTAGCCGCCCTATCAGGCGATAGTAGGAGCGATGGTGGAAGGCAATGGTTAACGAACGCAGGCGAAAAAAACAATGAGGCGAAAAGAAAATTTCACATAAATGGCGCCGACATCAATGGAGTACAAAAATGGTGAGCAATCAGTAACCATAGAAAGCGGAAGAGAACCAAGGTAAAGAACAACGTTGGACGAACAGTACTGAAGGACTGTCGGCAAAAGAAGCAACTGGTAGCAAACAATGACATGATAAACAGTAGAAGAACAGTATCAGAACAAGATGGCGGTGAACAAGTGGAAGCGTACCATATTGTTCCGCCGCAGCTGAGTACCCTCTGCCCGCCGCCGTGGTTATTTCTCAGCTTAGTCATGCACATTGTGCGTTAACGCTGGGCACCCACGAGCGACTCGGCAGACGGTCTTGCTGCGAAGTGAAAAACAGAAAGAAGGCGATTACAGCGTGAACGGAAATCACGGCGACTAGTTAAACTAACGACTTGCGGGAGGAAGCGAATAAGGGGTTTAAGTTTGACACACGCCTTCGCTGTTTACTCGCGCGCGCAGACAAGCCGTTAATAAACACCGCCCACGTTCTTTGCGATTTTTTTTCCTAACAGTAAGAAAATTTCGAGCTTCGCAATCAAGCTGAAAATCCTTTGCAGAAGGTTTCATCGGCAGGTGTTCACTGTGGGCCTTTAAGCTGTTCCCCGGTTGGATGCCGGGGGGAAAAGGCCCAGTGGGGGACCCCCCTGGGGCCATGCGGGAAACACCGCACACAAGCCTTCCCGGCGAACACAAGGCCTCGCTTTGTTCGAGAGCAGCGAAAATAAGATCTTTACCATTCTCGAGATGGCAGAATCCAGCCAAACGGATGCAGATCAACAAGCACTTCCCGCCTGCCGGCCGCTAGCGTTGGCGTTCACATGCACAATGGGAACTTATAAGTTGGCAACATCGCTGCAATGTTGCTGTCGCCGCGTGACGCCACGCTGCTTGCGGATCTCGCGCTGTCTAACTCTGCCTCACTAGGAACTATACGTGGGTTTCTAGTTTATAGAGCATCTAGGAGCGGATCATCGGGCCGAAATTATCAAACAGGTTGTGGATGGTGACGGCTAAGACAGCTAACGCGAATCGGGGACTGCAGTACGAAGTCCTTTTACTAAACCTCTTTACGCTTTTAAAGAAGATTAAAAAAGATACCCAAGATTATATTATAATCCTCGTTCTTAACCATCCCTAACCTCTTCCTACTCTGGTACTTGGCTTCCCTCCAGAATAGCGCATCGAAAAGCCATCTTAGAATAGATACGTGAATTTCAACATTCCGGATGGGATTTTCCCCTTTCTCCTTGCTCGTAAACTTATTTTTCAGTTTTGTTTATACATTGAACTGGGTATGTGCTGGATAGTAGGATATCGTTAGATATATGATTCACATTCGCGGCGTAGATTTCTGGTATTTTTTACTTCCAAAAATAACATCCACGATTTTTTTTCTTGTATTCACTTGGCATACATCCACGATGCATCCTTACCTCTATCTTCATGCAGACGTCTAATGTCCGGAAGTTTCCGCTATCCTTCGGTTGGCCGTTTGTTTAAAGCCCCCCCACACGAACCACTTTTTGGGTTGTTCCCGAAAATGTCGGTTACATCCCGCGGCCGGCGGTATTGAAAACCGGGAAAAAACTCAAAGTCGTGTCCGAGGGTTCGTCATCCAGGCAGCTTCCCGCAGTGCATGGCTTTCTCAACGACAGGAAAAAGACCGTTAGCGCAAAGGTGACGGCGAAGGACGACAACTAAGAAAGATGATTATGACGGCTGATCAGGTTAGTAATAGTGATGATGTGAGCGATGGTG